TTGATGAATAGATTGTACCGACTTCCTGTGATTGAACCTGACGGGCAGGTCGTGTACATGAGAAGCAGAGGCGTTCCAAGTGGACTGTTTCATCTTGTTCAAGCAGCGGAGGACATGGCCACACAATGGTGCACATTACGCGCTGAGGTGGAGTTCTTTGCTCGGCAGGGTGAGTGGTGTCTCGAATCTTTCGGAACACTGGCAGACGACTCCACAGAAGGTGGAGGCTGGAACGATTTATCTGCTTATTTTGATACAAGACGCTTTGCATCAGATCTGGCAGGCCTAGAACTTGATTTTGACAAGTCCCATTTTGGCACAAGGGACAAGTTTCATTGTTTGGGCTATGAGAGATGGAGTGTGCTTCAGATGTCTCCATCCAACGAAGACGCATCTGGTACACAGTGATATGGATTGGGGACGCTCAATCCACGTACCTGCTCAATCTTTTTCATTTTCGTCAATGGCGACCCGCTAAGCCAAGTACCGGCATGTCGTTTTCCAATTTACATCATGGATTATGCTGCTGCTGAACCTTCCTCAGAACTTGGTTTCAACAGGTTTCAATCCACTGTACGGTTTTCGCAATCTGATTTACTGCTGACTTCGTCAGATGGAACAGTTGCTTTTTGCAAGGACAAAGAAAGAATTCATCTACACTGGTTTTCTCGCCCAGTCATCCAATTTTTCCTGTCAGACTTTAGGGGATTGTTTGTGCACGCCCGATGCACTCCACAACAGTAATTCGATAAGATATTTCTGAGCAAGTGTGTCACTCATACCGTTGTCCGACAAGGTGGTATGAGCCCTTCGGGGAAAGCCTTTCCAGGCTAACAATTGACGGTAACACGATGTCTGAATTTACACTTTTGAATTAGTAATTCGTCTAAGTAAAGTGAACAGCTGGCCTTTTCATTTCTTCATCTCACATGTCGGTCGAGTGAGCGTTGAACAACTGGCCGCTGTATGTGGCTTCACCATTTTCCAGAGATGCAAGGGTTTGTAGCCTGAAGCCACGACAACCTTCGTTCGGTTATATCAAGAGACTGACCGCAGCCATTTTTCATGATCAGGTATCAGGACATGCTTTACAGGTGTGGTCACTTCTTTTTTGGTTTCTCGGTGAGGTTGAAATTGTGCACGTAATTCAGGGGTTGAATACTTAAGCCGTCTATAGGGTTGGAACTTGACAGCCGAGGGCCTTTGAGCCTTATCACGAAGGACAAAGACGGATTCAGAAACTACGCCGGATTCAGAAACTAGGGATTCAGAAACTGCTCGTCGGATTCAGAAAATAAACGTGGTATTCAGAAACTATTTCGTGGGATTCAGAAACTATTTCGTCGGATTCAGAAACTACTCGTGGTATTCAGAAACTATTTCGTGGTATTCAGAAACTATTTCGTGGTATTCAGAAACTATTCGTAGTATTCAGAAACTATTTCGTGGTATTCAGAAACTATTTCGTGGTATTCAGAAACTACTCGTGGTATTCAGAAACTATTCGTAGTATTCAGAAACTATTGTCGTCGGATTCAGAAACTGCTCGTGGTATTCAGAAACTTTTTTCGTAGTATTCAGAAACTATTTCGTCGGATTCAGAAACTACGCGTGGTATTCAGAAACTATTTTTGCTGTATTCAGAAACTATTTTCGTCGGATTCAATGCTGACTCTATGGCTTCTCCCAGCAATGATTATGGTATCCCAGCAACTATTCAAAACCGCCACCCCCTCTGGCCAATACGATAAATAGGGTCTTAACTTGAACTTATCTTCACGAGGGACAAAGCCGCCATCCCCTCTGGCCAATACATTGAATTGGATCTTAACCTCAACTTTTCTCCAGGAGTCCAGGAGGGATCAAAACTGCCACCCCCTCTGGCCCATACATTGAATAGGATCTTAACTTCAACTTTTCTCCAGGAGGGATCAAAACTGCCATCCCCTCTGGCCAATAATAGGATCTTACCTTGAAATTATCTTCCATGATGAATCAAAACTGCCACCCCCTCTGGCCAATACGGTGCATAGGATCTTAACTTGAACTTATCTTCATGAGGCATCAAAACTGCCACCCCCCTCTGGCCAATACATTGAATAGGATCTTAACGAAACTTAGTGAATAGGATCTTACCTTGAACCTATCTTCATGAGGGATCAAAACTGCCACCTCCTCTGGCCAATACGATAAATAGGATCTTAACTTGAACTTATCTTCATGAGGGACAAAACTGCCATCCCCTCTGGCCAATACATTGAATAGGATCTTAACCTCAACTTTTCTCCAGGAGGGATCAAAACTGCCACCCCCTCTGGCCCATACATTGAATAGGATCTTAACTTCAACTTTTCTCCAGGAGGGATCAAAACTGCCACCCCCTCTGGCCAATACATTGAATAGGATCTTAACTTCAACTTTTCTCCAGGAGGGATCAAAACTGCCACCCCCTCTGGCCAATACGGTGCATAGGATCTTACCTTGAAATTATCTTCATGATGAATCAAAACTGCCACCCCCTCTGGCCAATACGGTGCATAGGATCTTAACTTGAACTTATCTTCATGAGGGATCAAAACTGCCACCCCCCTCTGGCCCATACATTGAATAGGATCTTAACGAAACTTATTGAATAAGATCTGACCTTGAACATATCTTCATGAGGGATCAAAACTACTCCCCCTTTGGCCAATACGATAAATATGATCTTAACTTTTGTTGCTTATCTTCATGAGGGACAAAACCGCCATCCCCTCTGGCCAATACATTGAATTGGATCTTAACCTCAACTTTTCTCCAGGAGGGATCAAAACTGCCACCCCCTCTGGCCCATACATTGAATAGGATCTTAACTTCAACTTCTCTCCAGGAGGGATCAAAACTGCCACCCCCTCTGGCCAATACATTGAATAGGATCTTACCTTGAAAGTATCTTCATGAGGGATCAGCACTGGCCAATACGGTGCATAGGATCTTAACATATCTTAACTTGAAATTATCTTCATGAGGGATCAAAACTGCCACCCCCTCAGGCCAATACATTGAATAGGATCTTACCTTGAACTTATCTTCATGATGAATCAAAACTGCCACCCCCTCTGGCCAATACGGTGCATAGGATCTTAACTTGAACTTATCTTCATGAGGGATCAAAACTGCCACCCCCTCTGGCCCATACATTGAATAGGATCTTAACTTCAACTTTTCTCCAGGAGGGATCAAAACTGCCACCCCCTCTGGCCAATACGATGCATAAAATCTTCACTTGAACTTAACTTCCTGAGGGATCAAAACTGCCACCCCCTCTGGCCCATACATTGAATAGGATCTTAACGAAACTGATTGAATAGGATCTTACCTTGAACCTATCTTCATGAGGGATCAAAACCGCCATCCCCTCTGGCCAATACGATGAATAGGGTCTTGACTTGAACTTAACTTCATGAGGGATCAAAACTGCCACCTCCTCTGGCCTATATAATGCGTTAGGGGTAAACCATGGTAAACCCTGCCCAAAGAGTGATCATCCGATACACTTACGTGGTACCGCCCTAATTGAATCATATACGTTACATGTTACTACGCTGCTGAGATCTCCGGGATCGTTGCTACGTTGCTTGTTACTGCGCTGCTGGGATCTCTGGGCTCGTTGCTACGTTACTTGTTACTACGCTGCTGATGGGGTACGTTACTTGTTACTACGCTGCTGATGGGGTAGGGTGGGGCATGTCAACGTTCCTTGAACTTCGTACGTTATAGTGTGCTACACTGCTGAGATCTCTGGGATCGTTGCTACGTTACTTGTTACTACGCTGCTGATGGGGTGGGTGGGGTGGGGTAGGGGGGCATGTCAACGTTCCTTGTACTTCGTACATTATAGTGTGCTACGCTGCAACGATCTGTGGGATCTAAAACTACGTTACATGTTACTACGCTGCTGGGATCTCTGGGACCTTACTACGTTACTTGTTACTACGCTGCTGAGATCTCTGGGATCGTCTTGTTACTACGCTGCTGAGATCTCTGGGATCGTTGCTACGTTACTTGTTACTACGGGTTTCCAGTTTCCAATTATATCAGTTTCCAAATACCAATCTCAGTTTCCGAATACCTTTTCCCCGTTTCCGAATACGACTCCCAGTTTCCGAACACCACTTTCCAGTTTCCGAATACCTTTTTCCAGTTTCCGAATACCAGTTTCCGAATACCACTTCCCAGTTTCCGAATACCACTGTCCAGTTTCCGAATACCACTGTCCAGTTTCCGAATACCACTGTCCAGTTTCCGAATACCACTGTCCAGTTTCCGAATACCACTTCCAGTTTCCGAATGCCAGTTTCCGAATACCACCTCCAGTTTCCGAATACCACTCGCCAGTTTCCGAATACCACCGTGACCTTATCACGAATTTTGCATGCGTTGTGGATGCATCATGTCATTAACTAGTTCCCCATGGGTCCCTTTTTCTTCCTTTTTCATGTGTTCTTGCGTTCTCCTCTCTCCAGGTAGGTTTGGCCCGTTGCGTGCTGAGGTTGTTGTAGGTTTTCGCCGTGTCAGGTTGGTTCAGGCGCTTCTGTCCTCCCCCTCCTCCGCTGGTCTTGTTCCGTTTTCCGTCGGCCTCCGCTTTTCTTTTCCCTTGCCTTTTCAGGGTTGCCCGTTCTGGGCTAGGTTTCATGTGTTGGTGTTTGCTCTTTCCTCTTCTTTTGCGTTTCCATCTTTGCGTCCTGGTTAAGTAACTTTCATCTCATTGTCATCTTCACCTCATTTTCATTTCCCTTCTTCTTCATTTTCATCTCATTGTCGGGACCTCAGTTGCCAAAACAGCCTCGCGGCAGCGAGGCGTGTGTGTGGACCATCTGAAAAGATGTAAAACTTCTAAACATCCTTTTTAAAGCAGGGGCTAAAAATTACCAGCTTTGCTGGTAATTTTTAGGGCACCTTTTTGGTGTCTTTTTGTGTGTGTTTGCTTTCATGTCTTTTTGTGTCCAGACTTCGGCTCAATGGCAAGGATGCCCAATCGGGTCCCCACTGGCGTCTCGAATCTCTCGTATTCGGTGCTGTCCAATGTTGGTCTGGTTGACGCTGGTACAGAGGCAATTTGCCGATCTGTCTATGGTGCTTCCGAATATCAGCGTTTGGTCAGTGAGTATGAGAGAGTTGACATTGTTAGTCAGGAGCGTTTGTTTGAGGACTATTCGAAGGTTTGGGGCGATACTGTCACCAAGAGAATTCCTTCTGATCCTCTATCGCGCTTTGCATTCCATCTTTTGGAAGAGTCGATGACTGGCATTAGAGACTTGTGGGTTCGTGATTTTTCACGAGTTCTTGCGCCGAGTTCTGTGGGCGGATTGGTCAAATCATCATCTGCTGGGTATTATTACTCAGTGCTTGGCCGACGTCCTGGGATTTTGACAAAGAAGAACACACCATGGGTCGTCAAGGACCTCAATGACCACATCGGTAAAATTGCATCTGAGTGGGGAGCATTGCCTGACAAGAAGGTCAAGGTTTATGAAGTCTCCAATCCACGTCTTTACAGCATGCTTAGAAGTCGAGCTGCCGTTGCCAAAGCTGGACATGCTAAAGCTCGGACAGTCTACGACGTTGCATATGCTGCAAATGTGATTTCAGGTGCTATTTGTGGTGATCTCCTGGAGAAGAAGATTGCTATTCCAACCTTTAGTATGGCTGGTATTGATCCGGTCATGAGCTGGAATTCACTTCGTGCGGTGTTTAACAATCCGCATGTTGTGAGTCTTGACAGAATTGGAAGGGACAGAAGTTTGCAACATTGGTGGTGCAGCTATACGTCCAAAGTTCTGTCGGAGAAGCTAATTGGTTCACACAACAGCGATATTCCAGTTGAACGAGTCAAATCCTTGATGAATAGATTGTACCGACTTCCTGTGATTGAACCTGACGGGCAGGTCGTGTACATGAGAAGCAGAGGCGTTCCAAGTGGACTGTTTCATCTGGTTCAAGCAGCGGAGGACATGGCCACACAATGGTGCACATTACGCGCTGAGGTGGAGTTCTTTGCTCGGCAGGGTGAGTGGTGTCCCGAATCTTTCGGAACACTGGCAGACGACTCCACAGAAGGTGGAGGCTGGAACGATTTATCTGCTTATTTTGATACAAGACGCTTTGCATCAGATCTGGCAGGCCTAGAACTTGATTTTGACAAGTCCCATTTTGGCACAAGGGACAAGTTTCATTGTTTGGGCTATGAGAGATGGAGTGTGCTTCAGATGTCTCCATCCAACGAAGACGCATCTGGTGCACAGTGATATGGATTGGGGTCGCTCAATCCACGTACCTGCTCAATCTTTTTCATTTTCGTCAATGGCGACCGGCTAAGCCAAGTACCGGCATGTCGTTTTCCAATTTACATCATGGATTATGCTGCTGCTGAACCTTCCTCAGAACTTGGTTTCAACAGGTTTCAATCCACTGTACGGTTTTCGCAATCTGATTTACTGCTGACTCCGTCAGATGGAACAGTTGCTGTTTGCAAGGACAAAGAAAGAATTCATCTACACTGGTTTTCTCGCCCAGTCATCCAATTTTTCCTGTCAGACTTTAGGGGATTGTTTGTGCACGCCCGATGCACTCCACAACAGTAATTCGATAAGATATTTCTGAGCAAGTGTGTGTGCCCCCCCTACCCCCCCCACACCCCTTGTTCCCCACCCCAAAAAATAATAACATGTCATGCGGGCACAACTTCTAACTGACGGGCACAACTTCCAACTGACGGGCACAACTTCTAACTGACGGGCACAACTTCTAACTGACGGGCACAACTTCTAAGTGACGGGCACAACTTCTAACTGACGGGCACAACTTCTAACTGACGGGCACAACTTCTACTGACGGGCATAACTTCTAACTGACGGGCACAACTTCTAACTGACGGGCACAACTTCTAACTGACGGGCACAACTTCTAACTGACGGGCACAACTTCTAACTGACGGGCACAACTTCTAACTGACGGGCACAACTTCTAACTGACGGGCACAACTTCTAACTGACGGGCACAACTTCTAACTGACGGGCACAACTTCTAACTGACGGGCACAACTTCTACTGACGGGCATAACTTCTAGCTGACGGGCACAACTTCTAACTGACGGGCACAACTTCTAACTGACGGGCACAACTTCTAACTGACGGGCACAACTTCTAACTGACCAACTTCTAACTGACGGGCATAACTTCTAGCTGACGGGCACAACTTCTAACTGACGGGCACAACTTCTAACTGACGGGCACAACTTCTAACTGACGGGCACAACTTCTAACTGACCAACTTCTAACTGACGGGCACAACTTCTAACTGACGGGCATAACTTCTAACTGACGGGCACAACTTCTAACTGACGGGCATAACTTCTAACTGACGGGCACAACTTCTAACTGACGGGCATAACTTCAAATTGACGGGCACAACTTCTAACTGACGGGCGCAACTTCTAACTGACGGGCACAACTTCTAACT